GTAATTACTGAAAAATGTCCCTTACCTTAATAACCTGAATTGGCTGTAATTGTGGTTCTTCATAATACGAAAAGCCCTCATCCACCACGAGGTCCGCGGACGGATTTCATCACTCTGTTTTGTTATCTAACTGGCATATGTATTTTCCATCGGAATGAGCAGTGTTTTCATAGATATATGATTCACAAATGTAATTCATAGACATGCATTGCCACATCGAATGCAGCTTGCTACCAGAAGCTGAAGAAATACGTAACCTGTGGTTGTATGACCTGTAAAGAAATTTAATATTGCTGTTTTTGTATCTGCTGCAAATGGTGGACAAACATTTTTTGATCACCATGTGCAGTCAGCAAGAAAGAATTGTATTAAAGACGTGCGATATATCCACCTGATGAACATTCTGCACGAGACAAGAAAATGACATCAAGATGAATTGCGAATTTGCAATAAAGCAGGTGCATGTTACGTCATAACCACCATCTTGGTTGACGATAACAAAGCATTCCYCATTAGCTTCTCTTGTTAGTTCAACCAAGATCGCGGCTGTTTCATTGTTATTCATATCTCAACGAATTTTGAGTCACTTTCTATAGAAGTCTTTCTGGCTGACAGCACATGTAATGAAACCAAGCAATAATAATGTAAAAAAAATCGATTCTTATGTGCCATACCACCGAGACATCCGCACAGCTGAGGCGTCGTATGGACTTCGGACATGATGGCAATTAAATCCTTCTGCCCTTGGTGCACGAAAATCACGCTAGAAAATGWTCTAGCCGAAGCATCCGCAGGGGAAAGTCCAGATGGCCCCCAGAACATGTCAGCTAATCCCTTGCATCTCTGCCACGCACGGAATCACTTGTACACGTTATTGTTCACACCTCCCCCTCCCTCCTCCCCAAAAGTAAAGARTATTACAATTGAACTTTTGGTGTCAAAACCGGGCGCTAACTATGCAGCTTGACATACAATGTAATACTGTCRGACAGTATGTTTATTAACAGGAATAAGTGCTGCCTTCAGATTACAAGTTCAAAATCTGCCAGAACTGAAATGCGAAGAAAAAAATGCGGCAAATTTTCACGATAATAAAAGTGGAGAATTTATTGATTAATTTTATGAAAACTATTAATATTATGGTTTACAGGCTTTGATTATTTTTGGCTTTTTCTTGATTCTGTAGAGCACAAATAATGCAAATCTAAGATCGTGGTCATCAACCATTCAATGAAAAGAATTAGGCYGAACACAAACGGCACATGAGCAGAACTTAATAACATTAATGAAGACCACCTTATTATACCTTGTTTAAATTGCGTTCGGCTCATGAAAAGTTTGATATTTGATGTTTGTGTAAGACATGTAGTGTGGATCTAGGATAGGTAGGATTTTGCCGAGTAGGGGGTTTACAAAATTAAGAAAATACACCTACCTTTATGACAATTAACAGTCGTCTTAGTCGTCCAACCATCAATTAGACCTTTATWCATTCGAATAATCCATTCCGAGATGTCATTTTCGATATCAATACTCTACTTTAGAGTTCTCTGTTGCTAAGGCAGCCTCTGATTGGCGTCAAAATATTCATGTGATAAAGTAAAAGGGTGTGGAATTTTAAAAAGTGTTTGCATTGTCGAATGGTGCTTTTTTTTACTTTACCGTTGGCATTTGTGAATGATTTAGACACTGACCCTAGGCTAACGTACCATGAGTAAATGAGTCTGAAATCAAGAAACACAGAATAATTTGGAACGCAAGTGTGAAAAACGGAAAAGACAAAACTACTCTAAAACTCAAGAACGCTTTTTTACTTGCGAGGAAAAACGCATTGATAAATACGGCCCTCAAACATATATATTTTAATGATAATAATAATAATAATAATAATAATAATAATAATAATGATAATAATGTTCGTTGAAATGACTTAAATAGCGCTAGCAAATATGAATATTTGATAACCTCAAGTTTACAATTGGTATGAAAGCATGCAAATAATCAGCAATTAGTCCTCGAGCCCAAATGGGCTATTGGCTCATAGGCCATGAGGGAAAGAGGCCAACTAGTCGGTCAAATATATAGATGCAAACAAGTTTTAATTAAAATTAAATATTCGTGTCCCCACAATCCGGTATGCTGAATCATTAATGTATGGGAATCAGTYGTGAATCACCATATATAGTTGAAGTTATGATTTCACTTCTATCCTAAAGTTGTAGTTGTTACTACATGCAACCGAGACGTAGCAATGCGGAGTCGCCGCTTAGTGATCTTCATAATACAGTTAGATGCCCAACAGTCTGGGAAGATTCGCTTATGGTCGTTAAACTCAAAAGTTTTATAGCGTTCTTACTATTTTTTCTGTCAAAACCAACCTTCTTTTGTTCATCATTAATGGCGCAACGTCGTAGGAAGGGGTAGAAACAAGTGGCTCGTACAGCTTCGCGGATTTTGGGTATCCTCCAGTACAAGAGAAAGGGGTCGAGCGCTGTGTTGAATATTAAAAATCTTCCAGAAAAATAGCAAAGAGAATGAAATGCTCTTTGGGAATACTCACTAAAGTGGCAGGAAGGACAGCTGCGCAAGTAGACCACTAGATGAACGCCAATAAAAATTGGAAGGCAAGCAACACAGAAGAAAACCATTACTAATATGATAGTGAAGGTAAGACGTCGATCACGCTCCATTCTTTTGTTATGAAATTGTTTGGTCAGTTCCATTGCTCTTGGGTTATTACCATGAATGTATTTCAGTAGTTCCCTTCTCTGTTTACGAATGCTAATAAAAATTATTAGGGACATGGAGACTAAAGAAATTAGTGGCAAAGATATGTGAATATGGCTGAAGATCAAGAGAAAGGTCCATTTGGAAATTACAAGTGGGAGAAGAGAAACTAGTACAGATGCTATCCAGATTCCTGTTATGAGCAGCTTGACAGTTTTTGTAGTAATAGTGCGTTTATATCGTATTGGTTTGACCATGGCTACGAGTCGATCAAAAAGAATAGCCGTGATGGTGGTATTGCTAGCAAAGACTAGCAATCCACCGAGCACAAAGACTGATGCATCGAGAACGACGTCGTTAATACCAGATACATCAAGAAGAGCATCGGCTGCAAATAAGATACCTAAGACCATGCCCGTTAAAAAGTCGGAAACAACAAGGTTTAGAAAAAGCATTAACGATGGCGTTCGAAGTTTACCCACAGGATGTTTGTAAAGCCCATACATGACGATTAAGTTACCGAGAGAGGACACAGGTGAACAAACGAAACAGAAGATCGTCGTTGCTACAAATACGCGGGGAAAGACCTCAGGTTCGTCATTTGTAACATTCATGTTGATTTTGCGGCGAAAACTTTAAGCGGCTTTTAAGAAATGAACCAATCTCCTAAGAAGACCAATATATTTCTGGAAAACAAATTGGATGCAATAGTATGGACAATACACCGGTAACTAAGATCCGATCAATATTTTTAACGCATTTAAACGTGACTCCTCTTCGAACGTTAACCACTTATATCCCACTCTTCATTCATTTTCATGCTTTTAACCCCTTTTTCAAAACTTCAAATGAAGCGTTAATGCACTGTATAGGCACAGCATGTGGTGCACTAAGAATACCATTATTTAATTCAAATTTCTTCCAGGCAAAAAGTTCGAAATGGATTTTTTAGAGGAACCAATTTCAGTTGACATTTGAATATCCAGGCATCAATATAATTCTTAATCATTTATTACGTAAATATAAATATTAAAAATGTTGAATAATGTGACAAAATCTTTGAAAAAAATTCAAATGAGGAATAATATTCCTTTTCGATCAAAACTCTGGAGAATCGTCTGCTAAGATATTATCACCTTTTTGCGGCATTTCTTTCTCTTTATTTGGATTCATGGAATCATGAAACTCTTTCTTCATGTCTTCGATATCCCTRTCCAGTTTTGCTAACTCATCCTCCACTTCATCTAAAATCAACACAAAAATATCATATGAAATGATAATCGTTTAGAGAACATTTGCATAACCAATGCTCTCTACCACAGCCTGTTTTCGGAAGTTAAGTTCAAGACCAAATGAAGACGAAAATAATCCGTCATTCAAATTTTAATCAGACAGYTCAAATTATAGACGGGACGGATATTTATTAGATTTGTGCTAGAAGTCTTTACACCCCATAGTTATGGCTGCATGGAATGGAATTGATAAGATAAATGGATGGGATGAGATAATTGAATGGGACGGATGAGATAGATATATGGAGTGAGATAGATAAATTGGGATGGATGAAATGGATGAATGATATTAAATCGACGATTTATGATAATGAAAACCACAATGCAAAGTGCGATACTTTCTATTACCAATAAATCAAATTTATATAGATCTCCAATTTGAAACATCCGTTGTTTAGGATTCCCCATAGTGTTCCCCACATTTCTTCCTACTGCTATGTAAAGCCGTTGTTAATGGAATAGTAAGCCTCCCTGTGGGAATTACGCACTTTATTTTTGAGTTTAATGGCAATAARGCTATAGCACAGCATGAAAAAAGCATTTCCGCCCGTCCTCTTTTATCTGGTTCCATCCTTTCAGATGATGATAAATTTAACAAATAATARATTTAACAAATAGACATCAGTTTTTTATTTGTCTGTCCTCTTGTTGACGATAAATTGCGTTATCACATTGTCAAAGTAGTGTGGATCCACGAGGCGTAGCCSATAAAAAATAACTAATCAGCGAGCRAGAAATTGGTTAGTTATTGTAAAAAAGATTTTAACATTGCGAACCCGTAATTTGGTATAATAAATGTATATATAATTAATATATATTACGGAAGAAAAGATTTGTTTTGGTTGGTTGGGAACAAATATCCCCTCCCCCAGGAAAGTTCTGGCTATGCTTCTCAGTAACGTTTGGTTTGGGTAAATAAAGAAACAAACAAATGAATTAATTAATTAACGGAGTTAGCAAATTAATTAATCAATTAATTATATTAAAAGGAAAAATAAACGAACGAATGAATTATGAATAAATGAAATAATATGATTCTTACCGCTCAAACCTGGACCTGCTTCTACTTGAAGTAAGGGTCTTTCGTCAGTGATAGAACATCTTTCCTTGTCATCACAACCTCTTCGTTTTAGTTCCACCTTGCTAGCTTGTACTTTTAWTTTACGATCCTTCTTGTCGCTTTGAATGTTTTGCTCTTTTTTGTTGCCTTTGATCAGATTGTTGGCTATTTCTGCCGCTGCTGCTGGAGGACATACGAACTGTGATTTCTTTAGTCTCGGCATTTTCATCAGCTTGGGACCAGATGTATTGCTTTCCGAGCCCTTTTTCGATGGAGGTTTAAAACTTGCCTTGATGAGCTTTGGCATATTTATAAATTGGAGCGAAGAAGATGCAGTAGATGATGGTTGAACTGAAGCTGTTTCTGGGATCTGAGCGTCTTCTGTGGGAGTTTTCTCTGACACATGCTCTCTTGATTTCTCTTCTAAGATAAGACAAGAGAGAGATAGCTTATTGATAAAACATTGGAGCTAGTAGGCTCATTAATAGAGTAAAATCCGACGTATGAAAATTGATAAATTGACTAAATATATATATATATAACTAGGATAAAGCCTTAAAATTATTATGAATCACTGCAAAGATTATCTTCTGCGAGTGAAGTTTCCAAACCTGCCATCTTTTCAACTTGTACTTCAGGTTCTTGAGTTGTACATTTTTTAGTCATCTTCTTGGCAGRTTGTTTAGCAGGTTTGTTGCATGTCTCTTTTTCTTGGTCCTCTTGTTTTGGTTCTTTATATGGAATCTTTTTCYTTTTCTCTTGTCCATCGTTATTCTTCTCCACTAGTTTTCTTTTCTTCGTATTAGTTGTTTTGGTTTTTTCTTTGATGCTCGTCTCTTTGGTTACATCGTATGACACCTGACAAGCCATCTCACCTTCATGAGAGGGAGGTATTGGACTTTTTGGAGACTCTGAATTCGTTGGGGATGTAACTAGATCTTTAGTATCCTCAGAAACGGCATTCATTGGTATCACTTGTGTATCGTTTTTCATTTTCTTTCCTAGGAAATTAGAAAAACGTCACTTTATTCACGTTATTTATTTCATACTTTCGTTACATAAGCGCTGGATACCGGGTGATCACACGGTACTATTTAAAATATAATAATTCACTTCTTTACTTTCATTCATACACTTTASGACAAAACTTCCCTTCTCCCCCTTATTAATCTACACTATAATTATTTAGTATRAATACACAGGTGATTACTGAAAATCTCGCGCGCTGATTGGTCGAGAAACTCAATCACACGATAATCACCTCCAGCGATAATCCAAAATGGAGGCCAGGCGCTTTGTTGTGTCATTTTTCTTGTCTTTTTTTCTTTTTTTTTTTTTGATTCCCTGTTTAATTCCACAATTTTACATGAGAATCCCCAATATAATTTATACATTTAAATGCTAATGCAACCTAAACATATTTCAGAACATTTCTCCATACCTTTCTTCGAGGAATTGCTTTTTGCAGCTTTTTCAATTTTGTCGATTGATTTTTTACGAGGTTTATTATCCTTCTTAGCTTTATCAGCGGTGGATTTTACCGCACTGCTTTCATCACTTTTCTCTTCTTTATCCTTTTCTTTCTTTCGTCCTTTCTTGGCTGGCTTATTAGTCTGATTAGGACCTGAGTAAGCTTTCTTCATCTTCTTAATTGAAGTCTTTTCTTTTGTCTTCTTGCAAAATTCTTCAGAAAAGTTCTCACTACTCTCACTCAAATCGTTGATTTCTAGAGATTGAAGAACAAAAATTATAAAGATTTATCTTTTGAAATCTGTCAATTAATTATCAAAACAAACTTGAATAAAACCAAGATCGAGGGGCAGGTGATAATTTTCAGGAGACACAATTAATGGAACTAAATAAGATAATATAAGATTAATTCTGGCCAAGATTAACTCAGCTGGAAGATCATTCACCTGCACTATTCAAATAATCGTCCTCCTCTTCATCTTCATCTTCTTTGTCTTTCTCTTCCTCTTCCTTTRTATCTTCCATCCTCATTACGTCTTTTGTCTTTTTGTCTTTAGTTGTTTTATTCTGATGCCCTATCGGGCCCTTAAATCTCCTCGCAAATCCATACACATTTACTCTATTCTAAGATAAACAACATATTTCATAATTTTCATTAAAGRGCTCGGCTTTTTTCGCAAGTCTTTTTCCAGCACGCAAATATCTGCGGCCCAAAATAATTAACTAAAGACATTTTCTAGGATATTGTTTCSAAATTCTCGTATGAAAGAGAAATTATTATAACACTGATTCTAAAAAAATTTCGGCGATTCTCATTACAAACTGCTGTACTTCAGTTATTTTCTTCCTCTACCGGACAGACCAGGTACAACGAAAGTACCTGGAATCGGATGAATGCCCAAACCTGATAAAGATCTGCATTCTAAATTGAGTATGAAGYGGCCGTCTTTGGAAATGTCAAATGAATAAAGTACAAAATTGACCGAAGTCATATCCTACCTCTGGTGGTAGAGATAGAGCTTGTTTTGCCTGCTCTGCTGCCAAATCAAGTTTTTTCTTGAAGTTTTTCTTTCTTATGACCACCTTCGTAGCAAACAGAGAGATACAAAAATCAATATTTYAATATTGGTAAAGCTCAGTAATAATAACTAAAATTTCTAAAAAAAATGATTATAATAAATGTTAACAAAATTCTAATAGATGAGGTCAAACCATAGAAGGTAAGACAAATGGGTATTGTGGATAGTCGCTATCCTGGGCATTTGGAGATTGTCTGCATACGAAGAGTGAAAAAATGTTTTGTTCGGTATCTTAATCGTAATCAATCTTAGAGAGCTGCAAAACTGTAGTAAGTGTAGTATTATCTATTAATGTTTACCCAGAATACYCTTCGGTCTTAGCTTCGATGATTTAACCTTTTTAACCCGACAACGTTTTTTTCTTAATTTGGTGCCAGTTGCAACCTTACTTTCGTYGTTAGTATGCTGAGCAAGAGTTACATACGTACATTTCCTTGGTCCTCTGGGTTATCATCAGCATGGAAGGGTCGGATACTACAGGTATTGACCCATGCCCTTGAGACATCTTTGTCAAAAAACACAACATGGTAGCTTATCTAAAAATAGATCATAAAACCAATAATTAAGAACATAATTTWAAAATTTCAATCTTCAAAAGTCGAAATCCAACTGAATGTGGAGCTCAAACTTGCCTGGTTTGCGGAATCCATAGCCTGGGGATCCGTTGAACCAAATTGGCAATTCTTCAGACATGASAAAAACATTCAAAATTGACGCTTTCCTTCCGAAAACCCTATATTTTTGTTTCTTAAGCCCATGTTCCATCTTTTCTAGGTCAAAATAAGTTTGGAAGCGGGCTCTGAGAACGAGACCCCATATGTGCATACTGTAGATGTTCGTGGGTCTCGATTAAAGGGAGGAGAAAGACAACAAGTGCAGGCGGACCGCCTAGCAACKCAATGTATATAGTTGAGCAAAGTGGCTACTTACAGGCTCTCTGCTATTTTTTTGAGTTTCGCAGTAATATCCATAGTCAGGATCATTCTCCATCATACAAGGCCACCTAAGAAGCAAGAAAGTCCAAATCAATCTGGAGACGATTGCATAATATGTGATCGAACTACAATACTAACTGTTATTAAATAATACAACAAAAAAAAGGAAATTTTCTATACTTTCAAGGGAGAAAAAACCTACAGGGGGTAGGGGTTAGGGGTTAGAGGTTGGGGGTGGGGGTGGGGGAGGAGTAAGGCATTCGTTACAAAAGGTAATAAAAAAGAAATTTAGATGAAAAAGAAAAAAATTCACTGAAGTAATTACCAAGGGTATCCGGCTAATTTCGCCCACACAATGGCACCTTCTGGATAAGGCGAGTACACCACGTCAAAATCTTCATCTTGACTATCGAAGTCTTCCTGGGAGGCCTGACATCTGTTATATCTACTGTCTGTTATCAGGAAATACAAATATAAGTTTTTTTGATCCAAGCGGCCCAAACGCGTATGACACGCAGTCGTGACTTGGCTATGGGTAAACCTTGAAAAATCGCAATTAAAAATCATCAAAGTTCCTCATATCTTTTCAAGTATCGTAATTTACATCGCACCTTTACAGTATTGCACCTTTAAAACGAAAGAAAAAACGAAAAGATTAAAAAAACCACGAAAATATATTGCACCTTTAAAACGAAAAAAAATAAATAAACGAAACGAAAAGATTAAGAAAAAAAACAACTAAAATATAGAATTAAAGTAAAAGCTATAGTTGGTAGAAAGTTTAACTCGCCCATCCAGGTTCTAAACTCCCTAATTCGGGCTTAACTCAGTGTCTCTGAAGCCCGCATTTTTTCAACTCGGCCACGGTTCCAAGAAATTAGCATAMTAATAGCCGTGAAAACAATGCACCAGATAGACTAGACTTTTTAACACCAAATTTTCCATCGTTTCCGTGCGTGGCAGAGATGCAAGGGATTAGCCGATATGGTCTGGGGGCCGGCTGGTCTCTCCCCTGATGCTTCGGCTAGAACATTTTCTTGCGTAATCCGTACAAACAAGGGCAGAAGGATTTAATCGCCGTCAGGTCCGAAGTCCATACGCCGCCTCAGCTCTGCGGATGTCTCGGGGGTATGGCACAGTTAGAAATCGATTATTTTAGTGGATTTATTTTAGATGAAATCAAATCCCATATTATTCACATAAAAAATTTTAAATATCTTTTTATCTTCAAATTATTTWATAGTCCCCTATGTCTGTTTCATCAATTTAAAAAAATCTATAAGATTATCTATAAAAGTATCTATTGSATTCGATTACTTTTTACTTTAAAAAAATCAAGCAGTTAGTGCTCTCCTGGTTTCAAATGCTTCCTGGGAACAATTTATTTAAAAAAATATAAGCTCGTTTGCAGGAGCCATTCCTGTTTGTAAACACTATTACCAGGTATGACTATTACCAGGTATAGCTGAACTCCGTGCAGGAAAATCGTGAGTCCCATGCAAAGAAATCTTCAAAATATCAAGGAAGAGAACCAAATTCWACATGTGATTGTCGAGTTTGTGAATCAAAGGCAAGAACCCAGCGATGAGAAGCGAGTACTCTTTCAATAACATTGAAAAATTATGGTGATGAATAGTGTCTAATATCATCAATAAATACCTGGATTCATGCAACAGACCCATTTATCAGGTAGGTTATTTGGATCAACTTTAATATTAAGGCATCGCCATTTACCGCAATGGGGTAAACTACACTGAACCCAAGATCCTGTTCGCTGCGTTTGTTCTTCTGRTAGATCGTTATCCTGGAATAGCAGAAGATAAGTAGAAAGACAGTCAGATACTGTTCGTGATGAGCGGATCTAGGATTTTGAGGGGTTCAGAATATTATGAGTAAGATTCATGTTTTTAGCACTTTACAGCTTTACAATCTTTATCGTTGAACCAAGCTACCATTTCCAAGCTAGAAGGAGTGGAGGGGAGGGGGGGGGGGCTTTTTGCACGGGCACCCTATTACCTTCCCCTAAACCTTAAGGAATAAAAATGCGGTGACAACCCGATCACATGCGTCACTGTTAGCATGAACTTGTTGAAAACTGGTCAAACTCGTTATTATGATATCCACGCTATTATCACCSCAAAATACAGCAATGAGAAGTCCCGTCTGACAGCTGCTATACATTCAAAGAATGTGTATGATCCCGGAGCAGAGCTTTAACCAGTTTGAATTGTATAAGGGTCATTTTGAGAGGAGGGAGGAAAAACAACGAAAATAACATCGCGTACCTTTGGTTTGTCGTCATGMTCATCAGCAGGGTTCGGAACGGAGAATTCCTCACTGTCATCGATGTCYAGTTGTCTTTCAATTTTTTTGGGAATTAACATTTTCCTTCTTTTCTTTATCCCTATGGGTTGACTATCTTCACTCGAATTCTGAGAACCATCAGGTTGCTCCTGAAAAACAATCAAAATGCATTGATGATAAGAGGTTGACAAGAGAAAAAAAAGAAAATAGAAACGCGCTTTAATTAATGCTCAATAGCATCTGGCAACAAAATCTGACAAACAAAATCTGACAGAAGACTACGAATCTTACAGGAGATTTCGAATCTGAAAATATAGCAAAATAATAGGGATTGTTYATATTTACCTTATTTTGGAGATCTGACAATGATTCTCGTATCTCGTTGTTTTCGTCTAAAAAATAAGAGAATTCAAGCCACAATGTTTTTCAATAGACGGTTCTAAATTTTCATTAGACTCCTGAAATTCGCGGTACATCCTCCCAGCACATCCCCTCCTACACTGCTCTAATCTTGGTAAGGCATGATTGATCAGGCTATATATCATACCTGATATACCTGTGTCCATTGGCCTTTCAAGTTCTTCTGACAGTTCCGGATATAACTCAGGAATGGGTTGTCCAAACTCTTCATTCCCTTCCAGTGTGGTGGGAAGTGAATCCAGGCACTGGTCCCCTTGCACACTTTTGTCATATTTCTGAATAATAACTTCGAATTAGCCCAACATCTTCAGTGTAAATAGAACTTATTGATTTGAAAGTTTTGTTATTGTTGTTGTTGTTTTTGTTGTTATTTTTGTTGTTGTTTTAAATCAAACCATATCAAACCATATTTCCATTGTTCATGTTCAAAGTGAGAAGGCATAAACTCATAAGGGCGTTGAATTAACTTCCTTATAAGTTTCTCTCATTGGTTTAGAATAAGTGCAAATTTCTTATTGTTGATAAATATTATGCGCTACATATGAGTTTTAGCAATAGGGGAACGTAATTTGAAGGGTTTCAGTTTAGATAAAATCGCCATCTCTTGAGTATTATATCATGTTTTGTTCATGTTCAAATTTTTGTATTTGTTGATAAATGTTATGCGCTACAAATATTTTTTTACTAGCCTTTCCTCTGTGTTTTTCGAATGGTAGAAAGGTTTTCGAAGCTTCTTTGATGTTGAAATCTTTCTCATAAATGTCATTCAATGTACCTACATCACTCTAAAGAAAGTCCCTAAGAAAGATTTTAAGTTTAATGAGAGACAATAGAGTCCGCCTTACCTGTTTTGACTCTTTGATTTTTCGACATTGTTTCTTTGGCTGTTTTTCTTTCTTTCGTGGTTTTTCTTTCACTGTAATCTTTTCTGGTAGATATAAGTAGTCGTTATCTTATCTTATAAAAACTCAAGCTCGAAATTCTACACTTAGTGCTTGAAGTAAGCTTAATACAACGACAAAATGATTTTTTTTTTTCTTCAAAATGTTGGCTGGAGTCAAACTCTATCTTTAGACATCTTTTTGATGACATAAGCCAATTTTCTTGAAAAATGTCAAAGAATAACGCAATAACAGGCAAAAAGCTTATTAATCTTTATATTTTTTACCTTTTAAGTCGTCCAAATATCCTTCTTTTTCTGTTAAATGAATAGCTTTGGTCGCCATTTTAGACTTCTTCCTCCGGATTCTGATTTCCCGCCTTTTCGGAGTCTTAACAAGCAGGCGCGAACTACTCCAATCACGTGACATACATTAACCAATGGGGGAAAAGGATCATTTGGTTTTGGCGGGAAAGGTCAAGAGGTGTGGTTTTCTGCATGTGGCTATCCTAGAAGTCTCAGGCATAAGGGATAAAATAGTCTTTGGCGTAAGGGAAAAACTGCTGAAAAGAATAATTTTGGGGATGAGAGATAAATACAGGATTAGCATCGCTTGGGGATTATTTTGTAAGAAACCAATGAGTTTTTTTAAAAAAAAGATGGTTGAACTGAAACGTACTGACAGAAAATTGAAAACTTTTGATTAATTACACAACCTGGTAGTTTAATCGTTTCTTTCAATCTACTGAACATAATTTTATGGATAATATTTCTCGTAATATGCCTAGCTCTTTCAATTCAGTGTCTAATTTAACTATGGTTAAACAAAAGTTTTTTTTAACAAAATTATGAATTATGTGAGTCCATCTCAGTTACTAATAATTGATTCAAGGCTCCGATTATAAGTACCTTAGGCTATTCCTTGTAAACTGTAGTTCTATAAAATTTGTGAGCATATAAGTACAGTTGCTAGTTATATGTTATAAGGTATTGTGGGTAGCATTGATTATTATCAAAGACTACATAAATACTCGGATGAAGAGTGTTGTCCACGCACGAGTCGTGGAGGTCTCCATGAGTCTTTAATGGATCCTTCGGGGGAGGTCTTGTCAATGAACTAGTACCCAATACGCATGAGCCTACTATCACTCTAGCTACGAGCATTTTTCGATCGCATAGGGAGCCGGCGTGGTCAGTGTAGCGATGAGAGTAGCTAGCATCTCTTGCAAAGTAGCTTCCTTTGCCATAGAGGGTACCGTGCTTGCCGCACAGGCGCCAATCGAATCCCTGCTGACATATTGCATCTGCAACATCAGGTGCGGTTCCGTGGAACAGCTGGAGCATTTCCTTAGGAGGTACATCGTTGGCCTTTTTCGTCATCCTCCCTTTCTTCCTGTAACAAACATAGCCATGAAAAAACCATTATTTTCTGTCTCACTTTCAAAAGACATGGGCGAACGCAAGAGATGGAATGTGGTTTGCACCCACCCGCCATCTTTGCAATTTTCAACACAACCGACGAACAGAAGAAAATATAAGAAAAAAGGAAGAGTTTCTTTGCAATCAAAACCCGGCTTTGTTTATGAATACCTTTAAAGAAACCCTGAATTTAAAATCTCTCGTGCTCAATCAACACGAAACAAAAAGTCATCAACAAACATAACAAAGTCTGCATATAGATAAAAAGCCCTTTCTACTTACTGAACAAACGCCGTCCACAAGTCTGGATTCTGGACCCTTTCAATCTTCTTCACACATGTATGCGAGGTCATTGTCTTCATAAAGGCCTTCTTAACATCTATGTGTTCTTGTGACGCCAAGGGCAATTCAATCAAAACATACCCCGTCTTGTCATCCATAGGATCCCAGTGAGTAGGGAGAGCAGTGATGTCATAAACGCAGCAAGAAGATGAGTTTTGCAAGGTAAAGGAAAGTTTGATAGCTTCTTTTCTTCTAAAAAAGACAACAGAACTCAAGATACTATAAGTTACTCAGCTCCTATTTTTAGCACGTTTAAAACGCCCCAAACGCATTTGTCTGTAATTAATTCAGGTAAACTCATGATCAAATCAAAGTTTCTGCAGATGGAAATCAATAACTTACTTCTTTGCAATTTCTTTCATCCTTTCTTTGGCAACAAATTCAGGCCTTCTTCTAACAGCCCTTTCTGTCTGGGTCTTTACATTTCTCTGGTTCATTTGCTTGTAGGACAGGTGGTAGCTTCAATGGCTTTCCTGCCCTAAACCATATATCAGTCATTTAATGCAACTTATTTTACAATAGTAGGCGAGACCAAAATCACAACAACTATTCTAGTAAATTAATAACACTCAAACAACCATTTCACTCAAGTTGTATTTCCCAATAATCAATTTACATACTGAACATGCTTCCCATAAATAACTTCATAACTTTTTCTCAGCCGAGTTCCGAAATAATAAATATAATTATTCCACTTGCTATCCGGCAGACGTAGCCTTTTACCTTGCAGAAAATCTTTTTCCAGAGACTTGCTACATGTTGTATTTGGTTCACATCCGTTATCTGGAGAATCRTAACTTTGCCATTTCTTTCTCTCATCTTGCCAGTACCACAACCATCGTGTACTGAAAATATGTCCAGGGGGTGCTTCTGCAGAAGACTCTGTGGACAACCGCCTCAGTCCAAGTGGTGGGCCAGCTGAAAAGTGGATGGAAACAATAGTTAAAAGATACAATAGACCCTTTGCCAAAATGGTGGCCAAAAATTTAAATAAGTTAAATTAAATTTGACTAAGTCTAATTATAACTCATTCGAATTTGCCGCCGCCATTTTGGCAAAAAAAAGCGCACCAAAATATTAACCTGTCAAACTCTTACCCTGTGTTTCTGCAACTGCAATCATCTTGTCAAAGTCTGTCTTTAATGACTTTCCTTGATCATAAAATATGATTTCATTAGTGCTTGGATCACTGAATGCACGTTCGAACATGATGTTCCAGTCCTCTGACAAATCCTTCCAACCAGAGCCATCCTGTAACTGCCATTGATAAGGAAGATCTCTGTGTAGGTTAATACATTTCGGGCCATAGTTGCACTGATGCCCTCGCAGAAAGAAACCACAAATATCAGTGCTTTGGTTTTCTGGAGTGCGTACTTGGTCTGTGACTTTGGCTTTTTTTGCTGGAGTGGATTGCCCAAAGGGAATAAAGCCAGCTTTATCCAATGTTTCGTTCTTGTTGCTGCTTATCCCTGGTAAAGAAGATGTGGTTCTGACTCTCTTTCTTTCTCGACCTTTCAAAATGTTCAGCAATTGCGTGGGTTCAACATCACGCAAACCAAAATGCCTGAAAACATCACGATTGTGCTTATCCTTCAAAAGGTCATGGTGTCTCTTGCAGCCGGTACCAAATTTACATGTCCCGTCAACAAAGTGTTGACGGCAGCAGTAAGGCGGACTCGCGGAGCGTCGGCAATGCACCTGGAATTTCACGGGTATTTCCCGGGCTTGGGACCCCCTTGCGCGATCCGGCGACCGTGTCGAGGAACGCCTTACTGCTGCTGTGTTTGCGAAGATATTTGCTCTATATATGCATGAATGTAAAGAGTTTG